CTTCTTCAATACTTAACATGTGGGGTTTGACCTCTATTATTAAAAATTAGTACTTGCTTGCAGTCTTCTTTCTTCAATACGTAACATGTGGGGTTTGACGTCAATTATAAAAAATTTAGCACTTCTTGAAAGTTACGTTAGGGGTGCAGCAGAAGCTCCAATGGCTGTATTTTTTTTTTTTTCAAGAGAACAGAGTCTTATAACAAAAGAAAAGGAGAAAGGCTGGATCGAACTCTAACTTTATGTCCTCCTGAGACTCGGTCAAGTAGCTGAAAACTCAAATGGATGTATGTACAGTTGCCATGACCCACATTTTGGACGATGGAAACTATTTTTTAAGAATAAAATTGTATGTGATAAACGTACCAAATGTAAAATCTGATCTAAATACGTGACTTTCTGTGTCAAAGAAAAAACACAATTGATGGCTATTTATTAATTAATTGAAGTGTGATTTGACAACTCACACGAATCTTCCAACTTTGAGTACGAAAGGATGTCTCGCTGAAATTTTCAGAAAAAAAAAAAAACTTGGGCGTAGATCGATGAGGTTTTAAAGGGAATTTGAGAAATCTAATCTAACCAAAAAACATGGGAGGTGAAGGGAATTTGAAAAAGGTTTTTCTTTTGGACGAGTGGCGGTCCACAGCGGAGGACGGTGGCAATAACGACGGTTGAGGGCTGGTTTCGAGGCTGCTTGGGTTTTTTTTTTTTTGAGAAAGGTGAGAGAAAATACGGTTAAGGAGAGAGAGACCAGAAGAAAAAGAAAATTAAACAAAAGCCGAATTTGAGATTTTCAAAAGTGGAAGAACCGACGCTGTTTTACAAGTGGATCCTGATGTCACGATGTTGGGAGGAACATGAATTTGACATCCATTATACATTATATATTATAGTTTATTATATAGAGTTGATTATAAAATATAAGAGTTTATATTATTTTTTTTATTATTTAGTTTAGATAAATTCAAATAGGTTTTTTTTTATTTGATTTTATTTAAATTTAGATATTAAATATTTTTATTATGTTTAGATTGGATTTAGGATAAAAGAGTGAAAATTTGAAAATATTCGAACAGAATTATATAAAATTTTAATTTTTATAAAATTAAAATAATTATTTTAAATGAAATTTAATTAAATATATTAAAAATTAAATTAAAATAATATAAATTTTTAAAAAATAATGAATTGAATCAAACCAATATAATTCAGATCAAATAAAATCTGTTTCAAAAGAAGTTCGATTTGTATTTGAATCAAAATTTGAAAATCTATAATAATATGCATTATTTAAAAAAATGAATCAAATTTTTTATAATCTAAATTGTTATCAACCTTTGACGAAATAAATGAAATATGATTATTTAAATGAAAATTAAATAAAAAACTTCATAATTATATAAAAATGTAAACATAAAAGAGAGAAAAAAGTGGATAACTAATAATATTTTTTTAAAATAGAGAAAAAATAGTTAGGAGTGGATTTTAAAAAAGAAATTCCCACTCTAATTTTATGAAAAAAAAAAAAGCTACAATTATAACGTTATTAATATATATATTTAATTTTATGATTTATCTTTTTGGTCAATTTATTATAGATTTATGTTACGCTTATATTCTTTGCATCAACGAATGTGATTAGTGGTAAAATTATCGAATTATGCATATTCAATATTCACGTTTAGAATGGATTAAATAATAATTAAAAAAATGTGTAGCTAAATATTTGGTGAAATGGTAAGTGTAGTGTAAAATCATTAATGATCTACGATTTTTTTATTAATATTTTATTTTTATCCGTGATATTTAAGAAGTTACATTTAACAAGTTGTGATGTACAGTAATATCATATTTCATTTTCATTTGCATCTTTATTAATGTTTTATTTTCATTCAAAATATTTTAAAAATTACATATATCATTAACAATTTTTTATAAAGATCTCACTCGTGTTCATCTATATATATTTTTTTATTTTTTTTCCATATCTCTTCAATTTTTTTCACCTAAAAAAAGTTTTATTTCAACAAAAAAATTATGTTATGTTAAGAGGATAGAAAAAATTATTTTAGAGAAACCTTATTTTTTAAATTATATATATGATTATTTAAGATAATGCTTGACATCATTTTTAAGATCATTTTAGTAATTTAATTACTGAAGTGATTTAGGATTATTTTGTTTAGTTAATAATCATTAATTTTTATAAATTAAAAATTATTGGGTTTGGTATTACTAAAAAACAAATATTATTTTGTTTGAAAGTATTAAAATAATTATACATATTAAAATAATTACATAAGTTAATAAATTATTTAAAAATAGTAATTTGTAAAATATTAGTAATATTTTATTTATTTCATAATAAAATATGATTAAATTATTAAATTAACAAACATATTTAATAATAGGCAAACTAATTTTATAATATAAATTATATAAAAAATATTTGAATTAAAAATAAATCTAATCTATTAAAATTATAACAAAAGAAAAACAAAAAGATTATATTATATATATAAACACTAAAAAAGTTTTAAAAAAACACACAAATTATTTTTGAACTTATTAATGTTAGTTTGAAATGTAAAAAAATTTTAATATATAATAATTATAATTTTTTTAAAAATTTTAATTCACACATTAAATAACTAATATTAATTATTATTAATTTTATATATCGTTTTACCTTTGTAATAAAAGGTTTATCATATTTTTAAAAAAATTAAATTAACCTCTAAAATAATGATTTAAATACTTTTAATAATATAAGATCATTACCACTTAATATATTAAGTGCTTATAAAATATACCATGCAACACCTGATGATCATGAATGAATAGTAAAAACTTTTAAGACTATGAATGGACGGTAAAAACATTTAAAAAATCATGATTCATAAGTGAAACTTATCATTCATAAAATATTAAAGATCATGAATGAAATTAAAATATTAATAAAAGATTACGAGTCATTAGTAAATTTTACTTTGTAAGTGTTTGTATCCTTTTATTTAAATGGTTAAATTTGAAAATCTGAAATTTGGACCAAATGATTCATTAATTTTTTTTTAGGAAATAAATTCTTGTTGTGGTTCAATTTTTAACATTTTTAATTTGTTTTTTTTTTTTTAGATTTTGAGTTTCGACCTCCCATATAAAAAAAGCTAAATCTGATTTTATTAGCTTTAATATATATAATGCAATTATAAATTATGAATTTTTTTTTTAGTTTCAAATTTATTTAAAAGTTTAAAGATTTGTTTTTTTTTTTTTGGTAGGCGGAGGTAGAGTAGACAACACAATTTATCCCGATGAATTTTGATTTGATTTAATTTTATAAATTTAAATTTTTTTAAAAATTAAAATTTGGATCAAGTCGTATAAAATTAAAGAAAACTTAAGATTGAATCAAGTTTAAATTTTAGATAAATTCGATTCGATTTAATATTATATAAAAAAATTTTAATTAATTATTTAATTTTTTATTTATATATATAAATATATATTTAAATATTTTATATTTAAAAAATATTTTATTAATTTTATATTTGATCGAATTAAATATAATTTATATAATATTGAATAAGATAAAATTTAAATATAAAAAAATAAAAAAATTTAAATTGAGTATAAATATAAATTTAATAAACAAAAAATAGATTAAATTTGAGATAAACAAAAATTTTGTTTGATTTGACCCGTTATCAATCTTTTGGTAGAGGTGGCTTTGGGGTACAATTATTTTATCATGTTCCCCATAATTGAAGTTAGACAATCAGAGACGGGGGCCCATTGACTGTTGCGTCTACATCAAGACCTGTCGGCTTAGATTAATGAATTTCTGACTATAGCACATCACAGCTTTCCAGCTTGCTCTGCTGCTTGGCTATAACATTCGAACGCCCCTTTCAACAGTTGCAACTTAGAATTAGAAATCAATGTCTTTCTTTTTTTTTTTTTATGAAAGACATCACACTTTTAACATAACGTGAAGTTCGAACATTGGAAAGAAGAATTGTAATTTTTTATTAAAAAAATAATTGTCAAAAGTGACATATGGCGAATCACGATTGCATAATCATGTATCCGGGATGCCTATCACTTTGTTGCAACTCTAAGGCATTGTTTGGATCATATACTCAAAGTCTTCTTTGTTTTTTTTTTTTTTCTTTTTGGCCAAACCAAAATCATAATCTGACACACAATTTCTTTTTACTCTTTTTTTCCGGTTTTTTGGCCATGCGAAGCTTTGACAAAGCATAGATTTGTTATGGTATGCAATCTGAGTTGGAAATCAATAAAAATATTTTCAAAGGTAAAACAAATTTATTTCTTAAATGTTTTATGATTTTAATCTGAAATACTTTGATTAAAAAAATAACTATTCGCTAACAAAATTGATTGAATTGACAAATACTTTAATTGTAATCTATGATTTTATTTGGAGAAATCTACTTATACTAATATATAAAAAATATTAACACATTTAATAATTTAATAAAAATATTTAGAAAAAATTTTAAGGCATTTGAAAAATTTTATTTTTTGAGACATCCAACACTTTAAATATCCATTCAAAATTTTCTCTAAAGAATAAGATATAGCTTGGACTCCCAGCAGCTATGTGAAAGGTATATAAATTTAATGTAAGTATCTGCATCCTGTATATAAATTTGATGTAAGCATCGGCAACGTGTTTCATGAAGTCTCCTTCTAAACTTTTATTAGATTAAAAAAAGTTATTTTTCGTTGTTTATGTGGAGAAAAATTATCTTACCCAAGTAACCGAAGTTAGTTTTAGCATACAAATTGCAGTTTTTAATGCAAAGCAGATGAAACCTGAGCCAAGTACTATCACACAGCCAAGCCTTTTTTGTCGTTTCCAATATTTGTAGTGTTGCAAATCAATACGCGTCTTTCTAGTCATCTGTAACTCTACCTTTTAGGAAGCCTGTTTTTATTTTGATTCCTCAGCTTTTACTTTTTGATTGGGATTGGTTCAATGTACTAGTTGTTACATGATTATGTCTTGTGCTTTTTCAAACAAAGTTTGCTACATATAATTTTTTTTGCCCATATAAAATTTCTTTTTCGTTGTCGTCTTCATTGGCTTGACGTGTGCAATGATGTCTGTCATTTTGCTATCCCCATCGGAGCTGTAGGCTGTAGCGCAGCGGTCTGATTCATGGCTTCTCTTTTAAGACAGAAACCCAAAGCTCTTTTTGGCATCTTTGAATGAATATTTTTAAGACCCTTTTTTTTTTCTTTCAGAATCAGGTTGTTTTCTTTTCCTCTGATTGCTTTTGCTTCAAAGTATTTCAATATTGGATTATTAGAAGAATATTGTGAAATAAATCAACTTCTTTTTTTGTGTGTTCTCCACCCAATAGCAGCTTAAACGTGAGTAGCAGCTCATGTCTTTATGTTTTTAAATATGATTGATTAGATAGCAATGGATTTTAACATATTGAACTTTGGTTTTATTCTGTTATTTTCATATAAAGCTATTGTTTCTTTATTTTGATTGATTGTTTTTGTTGATCAAATTGAAGGGCTTGGATACTTGGATTTCCAAGAGAAAGACATAGCTTATTGAGCTGAATCTATAGCTGTTCAGCTCAGTAAGAAAATATGGCACAAGAGTATAGAGAGCCGCTGTTAAAGAAGAAGTACCATGAGAACTGCCCTGGATGTAAGGTTGATCAAATGAAGGAGTTGCAGCGAGGCATACCGATTCGGCAACTGGTTTCCATATGGATTGTTGTGTTATGCACTGGTAAAAATTTTCAAAGCTAACCTTCATATTAGGAGCAATGACAAAGTAGCCATGTCTTTGTCTTGAACTTGATCAAGTTGGAGTGACAGGATTTAGCTTGTCATCTACCAAGTTCAACCTTTTGTTTATAAGATTGACGTGTGTGTCTGACTGCATTTGTGGATATGAAAAGAAAATGAGTGCAGAAAATTATACATTATAATCAACCAAAAATAAAAATTTAGACATTTTCACACATTAACAAAGCCAAAAAGATTGAAATAGTGCATTACTTTCTGTTCTCATTTCTACTACTATATGTTTCTGCAGTGTTGCATTATTTATCATTTTTACGGTAGCATGGTTATCTCCTTATGGAGAGCTATTGTTTCAATAGCATTTTACTTCATATGTGTTGGTCCTAATTTCCTACTGTCAAATGTTTCCAGCTCTGCCGATATCATCTCTCTTTCCATTCCTATACTTCATGGTGAGTTCAGACAAATTCTTCTTTATGAGTTTCTATCATTTTGTAAGTTTATGTATGCGAAAAGTTTATGATTGTTCAGCTTCATTCCTTAATCTTCACCGAGGATTTAACTTGATGTTAATCGGAAGTATTTTAGATATGAAGTCATCCCCATATTACCAACATTTAAGATTCTTATTGATCTGTCTCTTCATTATTTGAAGTGCAAATAGTTGGTTCCCGTACAAGACATAAACAGAGGCACCATGTGCCTTCCAATTTTTTCTTTCTATGTTTTTTTTGGTCTAAGACTTGACAGTAAACTGTGGGATGAGGGTAAAAATCCCCTTTTATTTTTCTGATTTCTCCTTTTCGGAAAAAAACTTGGGAAATAAAAACCTTATTTGAGATTCTCCTCTAATTGGAAATTTGCAACCTTGATAGTTTTACTTAAAAAATGTGTTGCTTATGCTATTAGTCTTCCTTTAATTTTTCTGTTTTCAGATTAGGGATTTTCACATTGCAAAAAGAGAGGAAGATATTGGCTCCTATGCTGGTTATGTTGGTGAGCTTATTTTCACTGCTTTCTCTTTATTGGTACATGTTTTCTTCAATCAAATATGTGATCTTACTACAATGCTCAATATCTTTGAAGGGTCTGCATTTATGCTAGGAAGAGCTTTGACATCTGTATTATGGGGAATAGTTGCTGATCGTTATGGTCGAAAGCCTGTTATAATCGTGGGAATAATTACTGTGTTAGTGAAAATTCTTTCCAAGTTCAAATTTCTAGTTGACATTTCTAAAATAATTGTGAAATTTTCTTCAACTTCTCATGTCTGTATTTTCTTAATTTTAATTGCTAATGTGCCTCAGGGTTATTTTCAACACTCTCTTTGGCCTTAGCGTAAATATTTGGATGGCTGTAATTACAAGATTTCTTCTTGGAAGTTTCAATGGCTTACTTGGACCAATAAAGGTTTGTTATCACGACATGGCTCAAACTCTAATTGTGTTTTGATTTGTTTCTGGACAACTATTTGACTGCTTCTCTTACATATGGCTATATTTAATCAATTTTACCACCCCACAAATATAGTTAACTTGCACAATCTTCAGGCATATGCGGTTGAAATTTTTCGAGAAGAGCACCAGGCCTTAGGCCTGTCAACTGTAAGCCTTTATCAACCTTTATATGCTTTGGTTCTGTGAACTTTTACTTAAACGTCAATTTGAGAAGTATTACACAATTTCAGGTTAGCACATCGTGGGGCATAGGATTGATTATTGGCCCTGCTCTGGGAGGTTTTCTAGCTCAGGTACTTCCATTTCTTTTGTCTCCTATCATGGGCAGATCTATGCTTTGGACTAAGGTACCCATGGACATTCCCAGAAATTGGAAAATAAAAAAAATTGAAGGAAAAATTTCCCTTGGACACCCCCAAAACTTTTTTGTAGACATCATTTCCATTGACAATATTAGTTAATATGTGAACTGTTTTTTATATATATTATAAGTAGACACAAAAGAAAAAAAATCCTGAATCCGCCACTTTCTCTTATGTGGTTGTGAACTAAGTTTCGTGTTCTAAATGGATGTCAACCTCGTAGGAAAAGGTACAAATTTTTGCACTTAAGACTTCCAAGACAATGTATATCAATTATTGCTTGAGATGCCATGGAAGATCTTCTCTAATCATTTCATCATAACAGAGAATAGAAAAAGAATTTAGTGCTTAAGTGTTCAATTGATTTTGTATCTAAAACGCAATGTAGTTATTCTTCCATGCATTTAGTGGGAACTCCAGTAGGTCTATAAGCAGAGTTTTGCTCAAGTGAAGGTTGGTTATCTTGATTGTCTGAAAAATATGTGAGAAGCCAGTAATATGAAGAATTTGGTTTTGGATAGAATCCAATTTCTCACATACATTGACATGTAAAGTTTAAGTCCATAGCATCTTCAACTTCCAATTGAGAAAAGAAAATAATAATGATGTTGAAATCCAGTAGAAAATTTTTAGTTTTATGGGTAATCTAAGAGTTTTTGAAACTTCCTGTGGAAAAATGTTTCTATATAACTTGTGTTTCACCTGATTTTGATATATGTTTCCCTCTTCATCACTTCAAAGCATTCATTTGATGTTCTACAAATTTTGTAATTCAGCCAGCAGAGAAGTATCCGAATATCTTTTCCAAAGATTCTCTGTTTGGAAGGTAAGTGAATTTATGCTGCTTAATCTCCCACACTGTTAGATAAGAACTTTGGATGTTTTATGCTAGCATTTTTTCTATTTTTTTTTGGGGCACATTTCAATGTCGATTGAGCATGATGATATTCCTTGTTGCAGATTTCCATATTTCTTACCGTGCCTTGCTATATCACTTTTTGCCTTGGGAGTATCCATACCTACTTGCTGGCTTCCGGTACATATCCTAATTGGTTTAGTTCTTACTTTCTATCAAATCCGTCTTCCAAACAAATCATCTCTATCAAGAATTAACCATTATTTGGCATGTTAAATAACATCTCTAGTTTGGCCACTCTTTTCTGCTTGTGAACCCATGTTGTGAACATCTCATATTTTACATAGTTACACCAATTTACCTCATGTGGTCATAACTGCTCTTCTTTCCAGAATCAGCAGTTTCTTTCTTCAATTATGTATGATACTTCTTAAACAAACGAATAAATACTATAAAGATGTTAACGGACCAAAATATCTAGTACCTGAAATTGAGGTTATCATTAAAAACATGTGTAATGAAAGGTGCAATGTAGGGGACAATTCATCCTGGTATCTGCAACCTCTAATCAAAAGATAGTAAAACTTTACAAGTCTTATTTACATTTGATTGAACAAAACCTGTCCTGTACATGTCTACAGAGTGTAGCCTCTAGTTTCTTAGATTTGAATCTTTGATCTTCGACCCTAACTCTCTGCCTGTGCGATATTACAACTTGGTCATCTCTCACACTCTAGTTTTTTGAGTTTCATTTTCAGATTTGCTTATTGTATCAAGTTCATCATCAGATAACATAAATTTCCTTGAAAATTAACTCTCAACTTAATTATGAATTTCTAGGATCTTTATTTTGAAAGAAAACTATTTGCCTGTTGTCGTAATGGCTTGATGTGGTTGGCTATTTACTCCATCGCTGATTCTAAAAATTCTGGTTATTGCAGGAAACACTTCATAAACACAATGACAACAATATATCATGTGATGATTCATATGATGCTTTGGAAGCTGCATCTCATGAATCTATCACAAAAGAAATAACAGAAGAGGATGAAGGAAGAGAATCCACTTCTAAGCAAAGCCTCCTAAAGAATTGGCCTTTAATGTCATCTATCATTGTTTATTGTGTTTTCTCCCTTCATGATATGGCCTACACGGAGGTACTAATCATATTTAATTTAGATATGTGCAAGTATATCGATAAGTTCATGGATTAGTAAGTAAGCTCTAGCTATCAATCTAATTGGCATATGTTGAAATTAATCTTTATGTTGCAGATATTTTCGTTATGGGCCGTTAGCCCTAGAAAGTATGGGGGTTTGAGTTATTCAACAGATGATGTTGGAGCTGTTCTTGCAATCACAGGTATTTATGTTAATCATGTTATATTGCATAAGTACACCACCCTTACACACACACACCTCTTAGGTTTGGAATTCCCAAGCTTGTTAATAAAGCACATTCTTCAATTCAAAACAAGGGCACTGGCTATGTTCCTATGCTTGTATCAACCTCATAAATTCATATAATCTTCAACGATCTTGCTAATTTATGTATTGTTTACAAGTTGGCATTGCCCTCTTTGGATTAATATGAAGGCCATGTCTATAATTTCTGCACATTTCTGGTTGTAGTCATACTTTTTCCTGCAAGTATCTTCTCTTTCTCACTTGCACATATAAGCGGTCAACTATCAAGTCTTGGCAAGAAAAATGTATAAATAGCTTCTGCAATCACAAATATGTGGCTCCATGTTTAAATTTATTAAATAGTGTTATCCCACATCAATTAAGTTTAAGGTTTTTTGTGGCTTTGTATTTAGGCCGAGACTCCACGTATTACCAAGTGGTTAACACCCCATAATTAGATTTCATAAACTCTGTTTATATTTTGTATTTTAATATAAGGGTATGAATATGCATAGTAAATAAGGATAGCTGAAGAGTTTGAGATTATGATGGGATATGACTGTGATCTTTACTGCATCATCTGCGTTTCTTTAACAATTTCTTTTTGAATATCATGACGACATAAAACATGTGTTTTGGTATGGAGTTCTTCATTGATCAATTCTTCAACATCTAGGTTTCAGCCTTCTTGTCTTTCAACTTTCCGTATATCCATATGTGGAGAGGATTCTAGGACCTGTAATGGTGTCTCGTATTGCAAGTGTAAGTTTCCAAAACCTTGTAACATTTAGTGTACTTTCCCTGTTTCATCTATTTGTTTTAAATCTTCTTAGTTTTAAATTTTCCTTTCTTTTTTCTTTCTGGTACATAATTTCCTACTTGCAGGTCTTAAGCATACCTCTGTTGCAAAGTTATTATTTCATAGCCATGTTGTCGGGGTTCACTCTTAGCTTGGTATTAAATTGTGCATCGATTGTGAAGAATGTTTTATCAGTAAGTGAATGTGCTTGGAACTTTATTTTCAGTTACTTTTATATACTCGGAGATGCCTTTGACCCATGAGAGGTTTATATATATATATATATATATATATATATGTACTTGAGGCAATCAGGGATTGAACTCTGATCACTGGAACTAAGAGTCCGGCGCTTGATTTCTTCAGAAGTGATATTTTCAAAGGCCTTAGCCTTGACAAGCTTTGCTTACGAACTTACATGCCTTCTCACTATTAAGTCTTTCTACATAACTAGGTATCAATCATAACTGGATTATTCATTCTCCAAAATCGAGCTGTGGTAAGCCTTTCACATAGTTTAATTTCCCTATTCTATTGTCTACTTATCAGTTACATAAATATTTGTTTTCTATAGAATACACCTCATCTTAATATGATTAAATATGGAAAAACAGGATCAACACCAAAGAGGAGCTGCTAATGGAATTGCCATGACTGCAATGTCTCTTTTCAAAGCTGCTGGTCCAGCTGGAGGAGGTGCATTGTAAGTTTCATACTCTAGATTTTCTCCATTCTTGCAGCTAGTATGGCACTAGTAGGCCAGTATTCTCCATTTTTAGGTGGTGTTGAACGTTTTACTTTTCGTTTCCTATAGCAATCAATCTCGTAATCTTATTTTTCACAGGTTTTCTTGGGCAGAAAAGCGTCAAGATGCTTCATTTCTTCCAGGTATGCTAATCAACAAAGTTTCACATCATAATTTCTTTTTGTTTACAAGATGTATCATAAACCAAAATGTAATGGCAATAGTAAAGGTACTTTCAACAAATGTTTTTACTTGTATAGTTTTTACATGTCACGTTTTGGTGAATTCTTGTCTAGCCATATGTTCTGCAGTTGACATGAGATCTTTGGTTAGAATAGAATGGAAGCATGTTGAAAACATTTACCATATGCTTGAAAACTTGTATCATTAGGTCTATATTAGTCTGAACGTGAAATTAACTATTGTATTATAATTTAGAGTATTGGTCAAAATCTAGGTGACTTTCAAGCATTCTAACTTAGACGTGGTTCAGAATGAAAGATGACATTAATAAGTTGAAGAATTTCTTGATCATGTCCTTTACTAACATGTGATTATAGTAAATATCATAATTGTCATCCTTCTTTTTTCGTTTTAAATCAAAAGAGCTTGAGGGTGAGTGGATCAGTTTTGAACTTTTCTGTTTGGTAAAAGGGGAGCTGAAGCTTATGGAGAAAGTGGTCTTCAAGTACTGTGACTAGAACCTCAATTAGATCTAGCAATTTGTGTATGTGTTGTGTCTAATGTGTCAAACACGTATAAATCATGAAAATTGAGTCTAAAAACAACACATTTTTCAGTTTTTTTTTTTAAACTCCTTTTGTCAAAACTTTAACCCACGTCGTTTCCATATCCTTTTCGAGTCCAAAATTATTAGGTCTAACCTTATCAGTCTTGCGGGAAATCCACCTCTTAAGAGAGGTGGGTAAACTATTGGGGCTAAGCCCCAGGCTCATCAGTTTTGAACTTTGAATCTTATTCTGAACGGTTATAGCTTGTTCCATGAAAAAACAAGTTTAAAACCAGGTTTACATTCTACGAGCAAGAACTTAGCAGCTAATTGTTGTCTACAGGTGTTCAGATGGTATTCTTCATGTTGAATATTGTGGAAGCAATAGGAGTGCTGATGACATTCAAACCATTTCTAGCTCAACATCGGCAGTAAAGAAAGGTTGGGATAGTATTATGATCGGCGTAATTCTTTCATAGAAGATAAATTGTAGCATCAATGAAAATTTGCTAAGGCTTCAATTTGTTCATGAAAATATCAATTGATGGAACAACTGCAATCTTGTTGTATATTTATTTTCTCCGAACAGGTTTATGGATGTCTATATGTAATATTTAGTCATTTACTGCTGCTTATAAATGGCTTTGAAATTTATTCTTCCGAAGGGGACATTGAAATTTATGCCTCATATTCAAGATTAACAGTGGATTGTTGGTAGAGTGCTTAATTATTAGTTCTAATATTTCTGATTCAATGATTAAAAAAATGCTTGATAATTTATCTAATAAAAAACTGCTAAGGCAACAAAATCCTTTAAAGTTTATAAAGTTTATATTAATTTTGTAAGTATAGTTAGCATGGGTAGATTTTAAATTTTCAAATTCAATATAATGATATAACATGTAAACATTATGAAAAAAATACAAAGATGAAATAATTTAAAATTTTAATAAAAATTATAAGAGTTTGAGAAAATTTAAAAATATGTTTTTAATGTTGTCAAAAACTGAATTATGTTTACTAAACTTATGAATCAAACAATAAATCAACAAATACATGAATAAAATATTTTTGAATTTAAAATTTATTATTTTATATGTTATACTAATTGTTTAGTACTTAGTATCTTTAAAATATTATAATTTTTTATTTTTTGATATTTTTAATAACAGTATATTCTAATTTTTTTAATTAATCCAATATTTTTATTATTATCATCGTAATATTTTTAGTGAGGAATAACAATATATGTAGTTAGCTGATGCAGTATGTGTGTGATGCAATATGTAGTTAGGAAGCTTTTGTTATTTCTAAGAGAATTTATGGTTGTTTTGACTGTTCAATTTTTCATTACTTGACGATGACAAGTGCAAACGACAATACTCATCCCATCTTGTATACAATTATATATATATATATTATTATATAATATAAACATACATTCAAAATTTTTATTAACAATTTTTTTATTATATTATTTCTATAACATATTTCAAATTATTTTTAAAAGCATATGTCATATAAACATTCTTCTATCACTTTATTAAATCTTGAAAAAAAAATCTTGGATCGTACATTATAACGTTAAAATAAATCATTCTCAGAAGAGTAAAAAAAATTTGTTATTGATAATTAGTTGAAGATTAGTGATTATTGTTTATTTGCTATAACAGCGTACAACACTTTTAAAATAATTATTTATATTGATTATGAATAAATTTCTTAATAATCAGTTATAATTACAAATTAAGTGTTTCATTACAGTTTTTGTTTAACAACTACTCTTTTTAAGAACTTTGTAACTTTAAAATAGATATCTAACATTTTTTGTTTAGTTTTATAGTAACTTTCTTTTGCCAATTATTTTAACAAAGCTTTGTACACTTAGCAATACTAACTTTATATTAAATTATTCTAAATTTTAATTCAATTAAATATTACCTAAATAAAATACTAAAAATTAATTTAACACACCAAATGAAACCAAGGTCCAACACTAGTATAGTTAATAATTGAACTTGAAATTAATTCTATTCCTATCAAATTATTCACATCCACGTTATAGAATCTCTTAATTAAGAAATGTAAAAGGAATAAATAGCTCTAGATATGATTAATCTCTAATTAATGTTATCGTAATTGGATTGGTTTAATCAACAATTAATGACGTGTGTTTTTCTATTCCAAAGACTTAATCAATAGCCGTTTAAGTTAAAAGTGGCTTTGGTGTTTATTAATAACAAAAATATAAACTCGTAATTTAATTTAATTAGTTAATGTAGTATTTGAATTTTTTTTTTATTTTCAAATTATAAATTTTTTTATAAAAAAATTAAAATACATATTTATATAAAAGAGATAATTGAATCAATTGATTGAGTTGAATTGAAAATTGATATTTTTATTGTCTAATTTGGTTATTATCAAATTAATTTTTGAGTTTTTATTATTATGCTTATTATTTATTATTTATGAATTGGTTGGAACCCTAATAATTCTTCACTGTTTTTAAACATGTAAGTTAAAATAAAGAATTCTCTTATGGGTGCCTCTGAACTACTTCAGTATTATTTTTATTTTTTAATTTGTAGTACTCTTTTTCTATTGTTATAGTTATAGTTTTCAAATAAATTTTATTTCTTTTTTACTTTAATAAGTGTAACTGTCATTAACCAAAATCTAAATTTTTAGTTAGGAGATATAAAAAAATCTTGAAATTTATTGCATATGAATTATTATTATATCAAAAATAAATTATTATTTTTTAGTTCTTAATCTACTATTAAATTTTCATTCTACTTATCTGATTGAAAAGAACATTACGCATATAAGTTCTTTTAAACTTACAAGCTCCAAACACAACTCCAACGACATACTAATTGATCTAAAGGTCAATCAGTTTAAAAATAAATTATTTAACTTGCCAAAAGAAAACCAATATTTGAAAAGATAATTCAACTTCATTTGTTTCACAAAAGATGAGTTTTGGAAAATGATTCTATATTTTTTGGTATTTGTTTGGTAGAAAATTATCTAATTAATGAAAAATAACTTATTGATAAATAAAAAATAAAATCATTTTTCAAGAAATTATTTTGTCGTAGAAAACAATTGTTTGTGTAAAATTATTTACCAAGCTCGTACGCATAATTCTACTTAAGTCATGCATTGTATATGGTTTTTTAAGCTTGAACTTAATTTATCCCAACCTGTAATTTTATTATATTAATAAATTTTTTATTTAATTTTACATAAGAAAATTAAATTAGTAATATTAAATTTTTTTTAATATTTTAATTTTAAAAATATTTTTTTAATTTTACCCAAATAAGTTATTGAACTTAATATTTTAAATTTAAACTTAATTTAATCAATATAAAATATTATATTAATAAAAATACTTTTATTTAATTTTAATTAAAAAACTAATATTTTACTTTAAAAGTCTTTTCAAATCTTACTTTTAAATAATTCTATTTTGTATATTTAAACATAAATATTTTAATATCTTAATAATAAATAGTATTATATTATTTTAATAATAAATAATAATATATTAAACAATATTTTTATTATTTTAATAATTAATATTAAATAATATAATAATATTATTTTCATAAAATGAATGTTTTAATAATTTACTATTATTTTCAATTTAAATATGTTATTTTGTGTTTTATTTATTAATGTATTTATACTATTATTTTAATAATAAATAATATTTTGTTATCATTTAATAATAGATACTTTCAATATAAATATAACTATTTTAATAGTATAAATGTTTTTAATATTTTAATAATAAATTACTATTTTTAATATTATTATACTAATAAAATTAATATTTTAAAAATAGTAATACTATTTTAAATATTTTAAAATACTAATATAAATAATAAATACTTTGTTTTATGTTTTTTATATTAATATAATATTTTAATATTAAATATTATTGTTAAAATATTTTTTTAATATTAATATTTTTAATATTTTAATAGTAACATCAATATTATTTGAAAAAAAATAGATTTTTCATAAAATAACTAAAAAATAAAAAATATTTTGTATTGACTCATCCAAACAATAGAAAACTTTTACTTTTCCCAAAAATGTAAATATTTTTCAAAAAACATTGTTTGAAAGTCAAGTTTTACAAAACAAACGGAATCTAACTATGATTCTTTCTTATATACAATATATATCTTATTTCCTTGATAAGGTGCATCATAATGTTAGTTTTTACTTGAAATGCCTTTATTAAAAAATTGAAAGATGTAGTTTTTACCACATATTAAAATTTTTAAAAAATTTAGAAATTAACAAAATATAATTTTAAAAAAAAAATTTTCTTCTCTCATTTCCTTTGACCCACTATTTCTCTCCCATCTCCTCTCATGGTGGTTGAATTCGGCCAAGCATAAGTTGAATATGGTTGTTAGAGGTTGAATCTAGTATGTGTAGACCAAAAACAAGTTAAAAAAGACCATATCAACTTAAAATAGGTTGAATCACCTTTACACTTTTAAGGTTTGAACCAAAAATAAAGTTAAGAAACAAAGGTTATTTATGATTTGATTTTTAAAATATTTTGCTATTGGTAAAGAATTATAACAACTAAAGTCAACGAGCAACAATTGACAAATTATATGCTAATAAAAGAGTAACCACGATACATAAACTAAAGCAACGATTTAAAGAGAGTGATATCAAAACTTAAGATTGATTATCCACCAGTAACATTAATTAATCTTTAAAATTCCATAACAAAATTCTATTGATCAGTAGTTGCAAATCAAAGTCTTTGTTACTTTATCAGTAGCCTATAAAGCACGAACATGTGACAATCCCTTGTAACAATGTTCAATATGGACATACCATCGACATGTTGAAATATGAAGACGACATGCCAAGACAAGAAAACAAATAGAAAAACTAAATCGAACATGAGCATGACATGATTAAGACACGTTTGGACACAAGTTAGGCAATAAAAATGATAAAAAGGATGGAAGCCACCAATCTTTTTGTAGATCTAGGTTTTTCTAGATGTTTTTGAGTAATCATCGCAACATGTGGGCTCAAGAAATTTGACTATTAGACTTAGGGAATAGAAAACAAAATGAGTGCTAAAAAGGCATTTTTAATAAAAACAAAAATCGAAGAGTCGCCACCAATCTTTTTAAGATATGATTGGCTATCTAAAAAAATTTATCCTTTTAGTAAAATATTTAAAATGGGTTTAAAGTTTTATAAAATAACAATTTGCCATATGTGCAAACAAAGTTTGGATTCAAAAATTGGTTACACGTAAAGAATGATTAGCACCCTTACAATGCTCATCAAAGGCAGTATCAATTAATTGCATGTTATCATTAGATTTTGATAAAAATGATTCTATTTTTAATGTTTAGAAATTAATTCCTTTGTTTATTCCAAAAATCAAATATCTTTTTTTTAAGGCAAATCATTTTTAGTTTTTTTTTTTAAAGCAAAATAATTTATTTTTGGATCAAGATAAAAATATTCTAAGCATCAACACATCATTTCTACTCTCTTATATTTAGATAGTGCTTCAAAAATATCTTTAACTTAGGAATTTTCACGTTGCCCTACAAAATCAAGATAATACCTCATATAAATCATAACCGTCAAGAGTCTTCATGTATTTAGGCTAAATTCTCAAAGGTTATATTTACCAGAGTT